CAAAAGTATAGCTGTAAAAATGATCAATGTAAAAATGACTTGAAAGGCAACTTAAATAAGCACACAAATAAAATAAATAAATAAATTCAAGACCTTAATGAGAAATTCAACAACTTGGACAAGAAATCCAGTGAGATTCCCTAAGGAAAGCATCAAAAATAGACTAGACCACGTGGAAGAAAGAATATCAGGGAATGAAGACAAAGGTGAGGAACTCTTACATTCAGACAGCAATAAAGAAGAAAATAAGCAATTACGACAACACCAAAACCTCCTGAAACATATTAAAGACATTAAACCTACAAATCTGTGATATAAAAGAAGGAAACACTAAGTAGCCAATGAAAATCACACAAATCAAGGAAAAGAAATAGGCATCCATGAAAGAACCTCTCTACATCATATTATGGTTAAAAATTAAGAGTACTGAACAAAGAATGAGTACTGAAAACTACAAGAGAGAAGTGCCAAGTTACCTATGAAGGCAAACCTATCAGAATAACAGCAGACTTCTCAACAGCAACCCTAAAGGCCAGGAGAGCAGGGAATGATGTATTTCAAGCCCTGAAAGAAAATAACTGCAAACCAATGTCATTAAATACAGCAAAGTTATCTTTTAAAATTGAAGGAGAAATAAAGACCTTCTATGACAGACATAAAGGAATTCATGACTACTAAGCCAATATATCACAAGACACGTAAAGGAATACTACACAGAGAATAGGAAGAAAGATACACACAAGCATAAGAGTTCAGGAAAGGATAAACCTCATTAAAAAATAAACAAATGAAAATTAGGGGGAAAAACTGAACATTATGATCTTAATAAACCAGCAAACCTCTAAGAGGAAGAAAGTAGAGGTTAGTACATGCCTCTCAATAACAACCTTAAAGGTAAAAAGTCTTAAGTCCCCAGTTAAAAGACTCATACTGGCTGAGTGGATTAAAAATAACAATGCAACTATTTGCTGAGTACAAGAAACTCACCACACTGGCAAAGACAGACACAGACTGAAAGTGAAAGGACAGAAATGACATTCTAAGCAAATGGAATCTGAAAGCAAGTGGAATAGCTATAGTCATATTTGAGAAAGAAAACTTTGGGCTAAAACTAGTCAGAAGGGATATTAAAGAAGGTTAGTATTCATTAGTAAAGGAAACAATACATAAAGAAGATACAAGGATTGTAATATTATGCAGTGAACAGTGATGCATCCAATTTCATCATACAAATGTTACTGGGCATACAGGAACAGATAGGTCCAGATACAATAATAGTAAGTGACTTTAATAGCCTGCTCTCCACAATACATAGATCCTCCAGACAAAAATTAAAGAAGAAACTTCAGAGTTAAAATGTACCCTAGATCAAATGGACTTAACAGACACCTACAGAATATTTCATCCAAAAGCTGCCGAATATACATTCTTCTCATCAGCCCATAGAGATTCTCCAGAAAAAAAATCATATTTTAGGTCATAAGGCAAGTCTTAACAAATTCACAACACTAAAATAATTACTGTATCTTATCAGGTTACAATAGAGTAAAATTAGAAATTATTATCATGAGAAACTATTCAAACCCATGAAGACTGAACAATATACTTCGAATGATTAACTGTTCACTAAAGAAATGGAGGTAGAGGATTTAAAAGCTCCTAGAATCAAATGGAAATGAAAACACAACTAAGAATCTCTGGGATACAGCTAAGGCAGTTCTAAAAGGAAAGTTTAAGCTACAAGTGCCAACATTAAAACAGATATCTCACATAAATAACCAAATGATGTACCTCAAGGTCTTAGAAAAATAAGAACAAGCCAAACCCAAAATGAGTAGGTAGAAAGAAATAATAAAGATCATGGCAAAAATGAAAGAAATAGAGACTAAAAGAACAATACAAAAGGTCAATGAAACAAAGAGTTAATGCTTCAAAAAGATAAAACAAGACTGACAAACCCTTAGCCAAACTAACCAAAAGACAAAAAAAATCAACAAAGAAACTTCAGAGTTACACTGCACAATAGATCAAATAGATTTAACAGACAGCTATAGACTATTCCAAAGAGAAAACACAATTTAATAAAATCAGAAATGAAAAGGAGGGTATACAACAGATACTGCTGAAATCCAAAGAACCATTATGGAGTATTTTGAAAATTTGTATTGTAATAAATTGGAAACTCTGTAAGACATGGACAAACTTCTAGACACTTATAGCCTACCAAAACTGAATCAAGAGGATATAATCAACCTAAACAGATCTATAATGAACAATGAGATTGAAGTGTTAAGAATCTCTCAACAAACAAAAGACCAGGAGTGGGCGGATTCATTAATAAATTCTACCAGGCTTTTCAAGACGAATTTCCATCAATGGTCCTCAAACTATTATATAAAATAGAAATGGAAGAAACACTTCCAAACTCATTCTATAAAGCCAGTATATTAACCAGATACCAAAAATGGTAAGGGCACAACAAAAACAAAGGAGGAAAAAGAAAGAGAACTATACACCAATTTTCTTGATGAACACTGATGCAAAACTCTCATTCAAATACTTGCAGGCCTAATTAAATAGTACATTAAAAAGATTATATACCATGATCAGGTTGGTTTCATTATAGTGATGCAAGAATAGTTTGACATCACAATAATAAACATAATATGGCACATAAACAGAATCAAGGAATAAATTACAAGATCATTTCAATAAGTTCAGAAAAAGCTTTTGACAAAATCCAACATGATTTTCATGATTAAAAACCCTGAAAAAATGAAGAATAAAAATATATTTCAACATAATAAAGGTTACATATGACAAACCTAAAGCCAAAATGGGGAAAAACTGAGAGTATTGTCTCTAAAACCAGGAACAAGTGTATCTACTCTCTCCACTCTTATATAATACAGTGCTTGAAGTCTTAGCCAGAGCAATAAAGCATGAGAAAGAAATAAAAGGGGTACGAATAGGAAAAGATGAAGTCAAAATTATCCCTGTGTGACATGGTCCTATGCTTAAAAACCTTAAAGATTCCAAAAGAAAACTCATAGATCTGGTAAAACTAAAACACTTTTAGCAAAGTAGCAGGCTACAAAAACAAGACACAAAAATCAGTTGCTTTTCTGTAGACCAATAATTAACAAGCAGAAAAAAAAAATGAGGAAAAGAATCCCATTCACAATTGCCTCAAACAAAAACAACCAAACACCCTAGGAATAAAACTAACCAAGAAGGTAGAAGACCTCTACAATTGAAATTATGCAATACTGAAGAAAAAATATGATGGTAAAGTCTCTCACATTCATGGATCAGCATGAATTTTTTGTTAAAACTGGTCTGTTACTGAAAGTGATACATACCATCAAAATTCCAATGACATTTTTCACAGACTTAGAAAAAACAAAATTCATGTGGAAGAACAAAAGACCCCAAACAGTCTCAAAGAAATTGAACAAGAAAAGAAATGTAGGAATGTAGGAATGTAGGAAAATACACTACAGAGCCATAGTAAAAAAAACTGCATGACACTGGCACAAAAGAGTAGAACAGAATAGAGGACTCAGAAATGAACCCACACAACTACAGCAACCGGATTCTCAACAAAGGGGCCACTGGAGTGAATGGTGCTGGGAAACTTGGATATCCACATATAGAAAACTGAAACTAGAGCCCTTTTTCTCTCACCCTGCACAAAAATCATTTCAAAATGATCAAAAACCTGATACAAGACCTGAGACTCTGAAAGTACTTTAGCACTTTGATATGTAAGCAGAGGGAATTACGATTCCAATAGCACAGGAAAAAAATAGCAAGAAATGATAAATGGAATTGCATCAAATTGAAAAGTTTCTGCATAGCAGACAAAATAATTACCAGAGAGAAGAGATAGCCTACAGAATTGGTAAAAATCTTTGTCACTATTCACCTAGCAGGGGATTAAAATGCAAAATATATAAAGAACTCAAACAATAACCACCAAAAGAACAAATAATTCAATCAAAAAACAGGCAAATGAACTGAACAGACAGTTCTCAAAAGAAGAAGTACAAACAGCCAATAAACACAATGAAAAATGTTTAATATCCTCAGCCATCAGGGAAATGCAAATCAAAACTACATTAAGATTCTATCTAAACCCAGTCAGATGGTTATTAAATATCAAGAAAAAAAAAACAACACATGCTGATGAGGATGAAGGAGAAAAAGGAACCCTCATACACTGTTGGTGGGAATGTAAATTAGTATAGCCACTATGGAAATCAGAATGAAAGTTCCTCAAAAAATTAAAAGTAGAACTTCCATATGACCCAGATGCACCACTTATGAGTACATACCCAAAGAAATTAGTCAGTATAAACCAGAGATCTGTGCATACCGTTGTTTATCACTGTACTACTCACAAAGGCTGAGTTATGGAATCTGCCTGTTTATTAATGGATGAATGATAAAGAAAATGTGGTATACACACACGCCTACACCCACCTTCCCCCAAACCCCCCGCATGGAGTTTTATTCAGCCTAAAAAGAAGGCTGAAATCACGTCATCTGCAGGAAAATGATGGAACTGGAGATCATGTTAAGTGAGATAAGCCAGACTCAGAAAGACAAATATCACTATGTGGGATTTTGATTTAGAAGGGAGACTATCTAGCAAAAGGAAGGGGACCAGCAGGAAGGGGTTAATAAAAGATGGAAATGGGAAGTGAATATTATCAAAGTACATTATATATAAATTTATAAAATTATAATGAATCCCACTTTGTATAAAACATGCGAATAAAAATTTGTGAATAATTACGTACTTGAAATCAAAATCATACATTCAAAATAAAATTCTACTTGAATAAAAAATACAAATGTTCAAAAACAAAGCAAAACAACAAAAATATGCAACAGTAACAACACTGCCATCCAAAGCTTCCTAGGATTTAATAGAAGAGAGATTACCTAACAAGGGCATAATGATACAATAGTGAAGTAGTTCAGCCTTTACTTACAGGAGAATTTCACAGATCTTGCTGCCCTTTTGTCCCATAGAATCCAGATATTTAAGACACTTTTTTCTTAGGTCCATCACCTATAATGGGAAAATGCAACATCCAGAAACAGAAACATCACTGGGGAATGAGGGAAGGTTTGAGACACATCTACTATATAACCCAGGTTAGTCTTCCTGCCTCAGTCTTCCAAGTGCTAGTGCACACCACTACAACAGGCAAGAAATATCTTAAATATTAACAGGAAGAATAATTTTATTTTCAAAAGGAAAAGCATCTTTTAAAAAAATTAATACATGTACCAACATGAGTGGATTTAGACACATTTTTTAGTTAAAAAAAAAGTTAGGCTAGAAATGTGGCTCAAGCCATAGTTATAAATCATAGGTGATATGAGTTTAATATTATACACATCTATACCTAGGTCAAGGCCTAGAAACTTTTTACCAAAACATTAATAATCATCTCACTGGGGTAGGATTTTTTTTTTTTTTGCCTTATCCTTTACCTTCACCTTCCCATAATAAACCTGTACCATCTTACCATCTTATAAACAAAATTTAATAAATTCATGTAAAAAATTAAAGTTCCTCCAGTACAAGAACCATGTCTTGTAGCTTTCTAAGTTTCCAACTCAAAACCAAAGAAGGGACCCTGCAGAGGATACCTTTTATACATACTGTTGGCCTTTCACTGAACAAAAGTATAATCTTCATTATTTAAGAAAATCGTGTGGGCTGGGAGAGTAGCTCAGAGGTAGAGTTACTGTACCAACAATTAGTCCTCTCAACTCACCACCAGGCTCCAATGTACCTTCCGATGAATAGGCACCAGAACAAGTTCTTGTTCAAAGAGATTTACCCCTTTGGTCCATCTTTTCACTGCTTGGTAACCCCCAGACTTTAATTTAGGATAGAAGAAAGTACTGAATGCATGAAGTGCTGGATAGCCTTGCTTTTTATTTCTTTCCACTAGAAGATTCATGTAAAAATTAATGACCTGTAAAATATCAAGAGAGTAAACAGAATTTGGCAAGTACATTATTAAAATTGAATTTCTCCCTGACTTAGTATGAATTAGAAAGTGAGATGCTTAGAAGAAGAAAGGTACTAAAGAGGGAGATTAAAGGACTGCCAATGGAAAAAGAGAAAAACTGTTAGTGCAAAATGTGAGAGACTAAGAAGGAACAGACGTTTAGGAATAAGAGTTTAACTCAGCAATAGAGCACTTGCCTAGATAGAAACCTGGGTTCTATCTCCAGCACCACAAACTCCTGCTCCCCCACGAACAAATAAAAAAAGGAATGTGACTGTACTTTTGAAGCATATAAGAAACACATTATAAGAGCCCAAGAAGTCTATGCAATAATGAAAAGGTGAGTACAACTGTCACACCAAAAATACACAGAAAAATTAACTATGATGCATTTTACTATATAGCAATTATTCCTCAATTTAAATATTTTACCTAGGAGATATGATAAAATATTTATATCACTTTTGAATAATTTATTTTCCTCACTTTCTATAAAAAACATATTGCATCTATAATGTGAAACAAAAATTTTATTTTTAAAAGAATGTGCTTATAAGTTAATAGGTGTGTGAGGTGGGGGGAGGAAGATAAAGGGGAAAAATGAATGGGAAAGGACCAACTGAAAAACTGGCAAGAACTAACTAGGTTTTCCTGAATATGTAAGAATACAAGAAAAATGAGCCAACATTTTATAATTATCACTTTCTATGTTTTAAACATATGTATCCCTCCAAAATTCATATGTTGGAATCTAATGTCCAATGTGATAGTTAAGGGATAGGGCCTTTGAGGAAGTGATTAAGCCATAGGGTCCACTTCCATGGTTCGAGAGAGAGGCACAGAGCACCTGCTTTGGGAGCATGAAGCTCTGCATTCAAACTCCAGTCCAACCAAAAAACAGAACATAATCAAAAACAAGTTAACTCACACCTGTAATTCTAGCTACTCAGGAGGCAGAGATCAGGAGGATCGAGTTCGAAGCCAGACCAGGCAAATACTTCATGAAACCCTATCTCAAAAAAAAAAAAAAATCACAAAAAGGGCTGATGCAATGGCTCAAGGTGAAGGCCTGAATTCAATCCCCCATACTTAAAAAAAAAAAAAAAAAAGGTTGGAGAGAGAACCATAGTCTTTTTTGCCCTTCCCCATATGTGAGAACTCAGTATGCTCCCATCCATCATTTTTGAAGCAAGAAATACCTCCACACCAGACAATAAATGAATCTGTTGGCAACCTGATCTTTGACTTTACAGCTTCCAGAACTGTAAGCAACACATTTCTATTGTTTATAAATTACCTACCTAGTTTGTCGTATTTTTTATTATTCAAATAAAATACTTTCTATTCATCAGGTACATCCAGGGCTTATAAAAATGTAATTGAATTGCAGAAGAAAGAAATAGTAGCAAATAATCAGAAGTAACAAGCTTTTTAAGACTCAGGATGCTTTAAAAAAAAAAACAAAACACAAAGCTAGGGAAGTGGCTCAATGTGCTTGGCAAACAAGTGGAAGGTGCTGGGTTCAATCCCAAGCACTGAAAAAAAAAAAAAAAAGACAAAACAAACTAAAAGTTGCTTTACCACCTGTTATAGTTGGGTCCAAGTCACTTCAGTTACAGATAATAAATGGGCTAAAAATATTGATACTCAGAGGGGAAAAAAGATAACTCACCTCATCATTGAGCCAGTGATAGTTCCTTAAGGTCTGGATATCTCCTCGAGTGATTCGCAATTTGAAAGCACTACTTAGGATCTCATCTTGTGGGCCATGGCCTAGGGCATTACTGATTTCCTTTTCCATATCCTGAATTAGAAAGCCCAGAGGTTGCTACTTTAACATAGAACCACTATCAGACAGTGAAAGTCTGAGACTGAAAAAAGCTTTTCACCTCAGCAACACCTGATCCTTGAGAAAAATATACTAAGATCTACTAAACTGCAGGATAAAAATAAACAAACTTATAACCATAAAGCAGTCTCACTAACGTCTATGTCCTTGTTGAACAGATGACTTCATTATTCTACAGAATCAGGCAGACAAATGCATAGTTAAGTTACAAAACCGAACCTATAAATCCCAATTAAAATTCTTTTCATCCAAATTATTTTTACTGTTGTTTCTCTTTGTTGCATACAATTTTGTTATTTTATGGCTCTCTCTCTCTCCACATCCATACTCAATATATTGTAAGTGCTCAAGAGATATAAACTAAATAAGATCATCACTACCAAGACAACAATGGAAGATCCAATATTTAGATCACCTTTAAAATAAGAATTTTAACTAATTTTATTTCCTTGTTTCCTATAAGCATCTACCATTTTCAAATACAAAAAAATCATGCTTTAGTAAACCATAATCATTAATTTAAGATATATGCAATGCACTCATTCTTAATGTCATACTATAAGACATCTGAAGGGTAGAAAAAAAAATCTACAAAAAATTGGTTATCATGATGAACCCCTTCCTATGTGCAATTTAATACACACCAATTAAAAAAATCAATTAGGTCAGTCATTATTGTATACCTGCAATCCCAACAACTCAGAAGGCAGAGACTGGGAGGATTGTGGTTCAAAGACAGCCCAGTTGAGACCCCTATCTCAACAAACAAGCCAAAGTGTTGTACCAGGTACGTGCCTATAATCCCAGCTACAGAAGAGGCATAGGTAGGAAGATCACAGTCCAAGGCCAGTCCCAGGCAAAAAACACAAGACCGTGTTGGACAAGTACCTAATAGCAATAAAAGGGCTAGGGGTGCAGCTAAAGTGGTAGTATGCTTGTCTAGCAAGCATAAAGCTCTGAGTCAAACCCAATACCACCAAAAAACAAAACAAAACAAAAAACACACCTCTTGTTCTGTTCAACACAAGGAACAATACCTCTGTAAGTTCAAGGAGATCATCTGTTCTTCTGTCCCTCTCTTTGCCTAAGAAATTCTTTTCCTTTGCTTCAACTATTGACATTTTCCTCCTGAGTAAACCATTGCTTCCACTGCCCAGGCGGAGTCGGGCTGACACTTCTTCTGATAAGTCAGGTTCCAGAGGGTGTCCTCTTTTCTGATCAAAAAAAATTTCTATTTACTATTGACATGTTTGACTTTGCACATATAACACATATTACACATGAAATATAAAACAGTCTGTTATCTTAAAAGAAAAGAGAATTAGCAGATCCCCAAAATGAGAAAAGGAGATTTAATAGGTCTGGCTGACCTGTTAAGGAAGAACAAAAAACTCTAGAGTTAAGGTTCACAGGGCACATCAATTACAAATCATGAAACAGAACACTCACCACTTTCCCTGGAAGTAGCAGAAAGTATTCTACAGTTCCTATCCCAATTAAAATTAATGTGGCTAAAAGACATTTGGAAAGTATAAAAAAGCAAAAAAGAGCTAGAAGGGTGGCTCAAGCTGCAGCGCCTGCCTAGCCAAGCACAAAGCTCTCAGTTCAAACCTGAGTACTGCCAAAAGGAAAAATGGCCTAATCCCATCATAGTGAATAAAGTACTGCTATCCTTATACAAAATAAAACTGTTCCGTTTAATCATTTTTTATGTGTCTCATTTTATTTTAAATTTAATTACAGTGCTGGTGATGGAACCCAGGGCCACTTACATGCTAGGCAAGCACTCTACCACTGTGCTATACCCATGGCCCTCTATGTTACCTTTTTAAAAAGTAATGTATTATAGAAAAATGCACTAAACAAGAAGGTATGTTAATCACCAATGGCCACAAATTTAATCATATATAATGAAGCTTCCAAAAGAACCCAAGGACTTGGGGCTGGGGGATGTAGCCCACTGATAAAGCACCTGGCTAGCATATGCAAGGGCCCAGGTTTAATCCCTAGCCCTACAAAAATTAAATAGTAATAATAAATTAAATTAAAAATTAGCAAATTTATTTAGAAATAGAGCTTTGGACTAGAACCACACCTAGCTACAACTCTTTAGTCTTACTAACTGTCCATCAGTTCAGCAAGCAGAGAAGCAAGATACATTTCTTGGTCACATTTCAAAAATGCCCTTACTGTGTCCTTAAAAAGAGATAAGGTCTCACTATGTTGCCTAAGCTAGCCTTGAACTCCTGAGCTCAAGTGATCCTCAGGCTCACCCTCCCAGGTGATGGAATTACAGATACATTATTTCAGTTTTTTTGTTTTGTTTTGTTTTTTGGCAATATTGGGATTTGAACCAGTACCTAGGGCCTAGCAGCACTTGCTAGGCAAGCACTCTCCCACTTAAGCCATGCCCCCAGCCTTTTTTGCTTTAGTTATTTTTCAGATAGGATCGTTTGTTTTTTGCCCTAGCCAGCCTTGGACTACAATCCTTTTATGTACACCTTCCAAGTAGCTGGGATTACAGGCATGCTCCACCATAATGGGATCTTTCGGTTTCTGTCCACAGGTAATAAAGGATAATTAAACACAAAAGGCTCTACTCTGAATCATTGGAAATGGGCAACATTAGAGAACAGAAAGTTTTATAACTTATGATTTAAGACTATGACTTAGCTTTCTGAAGGCTAATTCTTATGAAGAAGTCTAGTGGGAGAATACAAACTTGACAAACTGATACTTAAAGCAAACGCAGTACTGTACGCTTTTGTAATTCTAGTATCTAAGATGTAAATAACCTAAAACTTCAGCTTGCATTTAATTCAGGAATGTATTTCTACCAGAAATTAAATGTTTAGCAAAACACTTTGCCATTATTAAATTAGTATGGCTATTGAAACAGTTCTTATTGCAAAAGAAAGTATAAAATCCAATTAGTATTTATAAAATGTAAAATACAATTAGTATTTTCAAGTAAACCTGAAACCCTGACTCTGAAAACAAAGTCCTGAACATATCATAAGTTTCTTAGAGATGTAGGTTTTTTAAAACTTCTCCAAGAGAAACTGAGTGTGGAAGCACATCCAAATAATTCCAGGACTTCTAGTGTGAGGCTGGGCTGGGCTACATAGTGAATCCAGGCCAGTAGTGAGACCCTCCTTCAAAAAACTGGAGGCTGGGGGAACCTCCATAAAAAAACATGTAACACAGATAAGAGTTGGTTGGAGTCAGGCTGGTTTCTCTTAAACACCGAGGTGACTAATGCAGATGTAAAAATCCAACAACTCAAAAGGAAGAAAAATTTATATATCTTCAAAGTTTGCTGCTTTTCAAAGAAAATAATGGAATTAGAAATCAAAGTAAAATATATCATCTTTCTTATTTTCCATGGGCACCAAAACATAACTACAGTGAAAGAGCACATATAAAATGTAATTAGGGTTTCTACTTACACTTTCACTTTCAGGTCTCATTCCAACCATCTTTTCTGTATCAGAAAATTTCCCCTTTGAAAACCTGAGAGGAAAAAATTGAGACTACAGACTTCTGCTGGATGATTTAAACCTGGCATGTATTATACTACTTTTAGAAATAAGATTTATTAATTGTAAACAAATGGTCCTGTTTATATAATCCTGTAAACCAATGGTCAACAAATCTCTCTGAAAGGACAAGAGTTAATGCTTTAGACTCTACAAGTTTTATAGCCTCAGTCACATCTTCTCTACTCTACCACTATAGTGTAAATAAAGCAACTACAGGGCTGGGGCTCAGGCCCAAGTGGCAGAGCACTAGCAAGGTGCAAATTCAAACCCCAGTACCAAGAAAAAGAGAGGAAAAAGAAGCCATAGACAGGATGTAAATGAGTAAGTATGAACAAATTCCAATAAAACTTTACTTACAAAAAATGGGCAGTTGGATCAGATTTAGTCCCTGGGTCATAACTGACAAACTGTTAAAAAGTAACTATCATCCAAAATCCTAAGACAAAAGCAGAACTGTCTTCACTCTTCCTATTTCGGATATAGAGGTCACTGGAGAGATCATCTATCTACCCATTACTACTAATGGGACCTACTTCTCCACCCTGATGCCTAGGAAAGAACACCCTCCCAACTGAGGGTGGGCCTCTGATTTAAGAGCTACTTATGTACCCACATATGCTGACCAGCTACGAGAGCTGAAGAGAACTGATCACTTCTCAGGCACGGTTATTCATAAATATGGCCTATACAGTGAGAAAATATGTATTAAATGAAATAAAACATGTACCTCTTTTCACTTCTCATTGGACAGAGAGATCCCCTTGTTTCAAAAATTCTATCTGTAGGGATGGCAAAGAAAAGATCTTTTACTAATCAATCATAGGTTGGAATATCAACTTACAAAGAATCACAAAGTCATTTCCACTGAAGTGCTAAAGTGAATTCCAAAGATATAGCCTCCTTACAAACTAGACTAAAAATCATAAATCTCTTTGTTCTTTAAATACAATCTTTGGCATCAACCAACTGATATGGGTTGATTTAGTAAACTATGATTTAGTCATTCAATGAACAATTAGTGGAGTAATATAAGGAAGTTAACATGAGGGATATAAGTAAATTAATTTAGGCTTACAAAATATGCTACTATTGGGAGCCTAGGAATAATTATCAAGAAGCATTTTATGAATTGACTTCATCCTGAAATAAGCTTTTTAATGAAATTCCTGACACTAGCTAAGTGTCAATCAGTTCTGAGCCTTGGCAGTATTTTAATGCTTGGTGCACCATCTTTCACTTGTATGTCAATTTTCAACCTCATGGGCATGCTTTAACATTAGCAAAATGGACTGGAGGTGTGGCTCAAGTGGTAGAGCATCTCCTTTGCAAGTGTGAAAGTTCAAACCCCAGTCCCACAAAAAAAAGATTAAGATAGGGCTAAATCTGAGAACTCACATTGTTTTGGAACAAACTGAGTTGTTCTGACGCCATGATTCTGCTCTTCGATCCAGCCTTTGGTCTTTAATGTGTCCATCTGACTTCTCTGAGAACTTAGACAGACAAGTGACAAAAATCAGTTACAAAAGTGGAGAATGAATTAACATTCTGACTCACTACACTAAGAAAACTTGGGGGCGGGGGGAGGAACACACTATAAACAACCAAAGTTAAAATTCCTAAATAATTTAATTTGTTTTCTGCATTCAATAACCTAGATCATCTTATGAGTCTTTCACCTTCAACTTGCTGTTACATAATTAGTAGGATCTCTCTGAACTTGTACAGTACTTGTTAGAAATACCAAGTGAGCCTGAATCCTGAGCTCACATACTTTGTCCCCTTTCAGACGCGAACATAAGGCTACACACTACCTCCTTTCGTTGCCCTCATCTATTTGCTCAAATCACTAGAGTATTTAATTAATAAGCAATCCCATAAGGAAAATCCTTATGACCTAGGTGACTTTAGATGCTTCAGGGAGACTAAGATGTGGTTCAAGTGGTAGTGTCTGCCTAGCAAACACAAGGCCTTGAGTTCAAACTCCAGTAACAACAACAACAAAAAGCCTCAGGGACTCTGTGGTGTGTGTGTGTGTGTTGTGTGAAAGAGAGAGAGACAGAGATGGGGTGGAAATCGGGCAGAAGTAAAGAAAAGAGACAGAGGAGGTGAGAAGAAAGGAAGAGAGGGGGCAGATGGAGAGATGGTCAGGCAAGGAAGAAGACTGGGGAAGAGGGGAAGAAAGAAAGAGAAAGAGACTGTGGGAAATGTATGTATTGAGGAAGTTGGAAAAACTCTCTTCCCCTTGGGAGCCCTACGGTAACCAGTGATCCACTTTTGTAGATCAGAATTTCAAGTAAGAGTTCACTTGTGCCAAGTATGATGGTACACACTGATAATCCTAGCACCTGGGACAATGAGGCAAGAGGATCCTGAGTTTCGGGCCAGCCTGGATTATATAGTAAGACCCTGACCCCCCTGCTCCACGCTTCCCCCCCAAAGAAAAAGAAAAAGAATTCTACAGCTAAGAGAAAACATTATTTTGTAAAGCCACTGTTCTGTATAATGCATTACCAGATAAAATGTTCAGGCAAATTGCAAATTACAGGTCTAGTTCTCTCAATGTTAACCTTTTTCCAACGGTTCTCATCCATCCCTCTCTAAAAATAAAGAGAAAGATAACTAACAAAGCATTAATCTAATTAGCTTATTTTTACCTGTGATGATGTGAAGTTACAGGAGTGACAGAATTTCCACCACCTTCTTTAAGTCGCTCCAACAACCTTTGGTACTTCTCTCTTTCCTCCTTTTGAACACCCTGAATAAAAGAATGTTAGATAAGTACTAGTACAGTAAACCTAAAATTTAATCACAATCAGATACTAATAGGTCAAATGCAGATGTGTTTTATTTGCCAGCACAGCATTTTTTAAATTTCTTTCAATTAACTACCAACTTTACAATTTTTCCAAAAAAATCCAATAATCTGTCCTTGTGAAAAACTGCATCAACAACGGAGAGCTATGTAGTGCTATCCTCTCTAAATGGGCCATCTGCTCTCCATCCCACTTCACTCACTTATATTAGTGCTATATCTTGATGGCATCTGAGTTTCTCACAGAAATAGGCTGGGCAAAATTGAGCTAACCACAAAAAAATCAGCAGCAATAATCTACTTGATAATCAGAATTTGCAAATTTCGAAATGGAACCGGTCTCACTAAAATCACCAATGGCCTTCAATGGTCACATACAATATGCGCTTTTTCAGCCTTTATGTTATCTGATCTCCCTTCACCATCACCCAGCTGACCTCGCCTTGCCTTCCTGGACAATAAACTCTTCTGATTCTTCTTTTCTTCTCAGTCTCCACTGCAGATTATTCCTTCTTCTGCCTGCCATAAATGCTGATGGTTTTGCTCATATCTCTTCTCATGCTATATTCTTTCCCTGAATAATCTCATCAGCTCCCTTGATTTAAATGCATCATTATGCAGAAAATTCAGAAATGTGTCTCTAACTCTGCCTTCTTCTCAAAACTCCCATCGCCTATATCCAAGAGTCTACAGGAGAAGTCTTCTTGCGTGATTCACAGGCACTTTAAACAATGTCCAAAACTGAAGTCATCATCTTCCCCCTAAACACATAGGGTATCTTGGTCAGTGACACGTATTTATCCAAGATTGAAATCTCGGACTCAGGCTCTTCCCTGTACATTATATCACACATTATCAATAAAAATGTCCTTGCTAAGATTACCTACAAGTATTTCTAAAATATATCCTCTGTGTACACTCCACAGACAAAATTACTCAGTCCTGTCTCTTATTTCTCATCTAAGAGAGTAAAGCCTTTAGCACTTCTTAAAATCCAATCCAGGGGCTGTGGTCCATTCTTCTCTTTACCTACCTGTTTGCTGAATTACAATTATTTATGTAAAATCTCCTAGAAGGCAGGACCACATTTTATTCAAGTTTGAATTGCTAACAACTAGCACAGTACTTGGGACCCAAATAAATAATTCTTTAATGAACTAAGTAAGTAATGAACTAAGTAAGTGGCTCCAGAAACCATCTAGCAAACTGAATTAGCTGTTGGTCTTGGGGAATGCCAGATACAGAAATAATCCTAAATCTTCCTGGAATAAATGAAGACCTCAAGAGAGAAAATTGTCTCTTAATCATATTAAGTGCTCTGAAAGGGGAAAGAAAAAGCATAAAGGTACACCATTTCCCTACTTATATAGTTATTATAGTTTACAAAAGAAACAAGTTAGAATAATTCAGCTACCAAAAAAGGATGCCTTCCTAACATGATTGCTTTTCCTTCTTTACAGTGAAAATAACATTTGAAAACTGACTAAACTATGTATGTATAGAATACCTCTAGAAGGATATACATAGTGGTTACTTGCTAAGAGCCAAACAGGATAGTGGAGGCCAGGTATAGAAGGGACACTGGGAAGCTTACAGTCGCTGTATGTCTACCTTTTGTTACCTTTTTAATTTTGCTCCATAGTACATAAATTATTTCTTCCCCAAAAAATCCATTAAAATTTTTTTTAAAAGAAATCAGGCTAAACAGGCTTACCTCCTCTACAGTACAATGTGGACGCCTCAGACCCTTGCTACCTTCTTCAGAAAACATCTCTGTGACACTCTGTTCCTGAGGTTTCCATGTTAAGGAACTCTCTGGATTGCCTTTGCCATGGCGACGGCCAATTGGTCTTCTATTATAGCCTTCAGATTTCAAAGTAAAACTAAGAGACAAGAAAAAAAGAAGAAGAAAAACAATGTATCACTAGATCATCCTGTGATTATGTTGTCCTATCCTAAACTTGTGATCTGCCAGACAACTGTCATCTACAACAGTCCATCCCTAGAGTACCAGACACCCCAGCACTCCACTATGGAATATGTTTCCAGTCCCTAGGGCTACCACACTAAAGACCTCTTCCTCATGACCAATTTTCCAACCCCAAACCCAGATCTAACTCTCCTTTATATAAACTTCCACCCCTGAACTATATTTTCCTTTTAGTCACAGGGCACCACCAGAATTGTTGATATGATTATTTACTTTATGTCGATACCCTATACTAAACTTTAAATTTTATGAAAACAGAGAGTACATCCTTTCAACCACTGTATCTTAGTACAGAATCTAAGCCAATACATATCTGCTGAATGCTAAATTAATAAATGCTAGGCTCGGTACAGTGGTGCATAACTATAGTCCCAGCTTCTTGGGAGGCTGAGGCAGGAGGATCACTTGAGCCCAGAAGCTTGAAACCAACCTGGGCAATGCAGCAAGACTCCCATCTCAATAAAAAAAAAAAAAAAAGGATGGTGGGGCTGCCAGTGTAGCTCAGTGTGGAGTGCTTGCCCAGCATATGCAAAGTCCCAGGTTCAAACCTAGCACTACTCAAAAAAAAAAAAAAGGTTAATGAATTCTAAAGAAACTAAAGCCATGAAACCCTACCCCCACCTCAGCCACTGTTGCTGGTGACGGAATCTGTCTCTCTTGCCATTACAAATAATGGAACAAACTAAACTATACCTCTCTTGATGTGATGCTTTGAAAAGGATATACCACCACTTAAAAATATTGCACAATCTGAAGCAAATCATGAATAAATATCAGACAACATTAAAAATATTAATGCCATTAAAGGCAAAGAAAGACTAAGGTGTTGCAGATCAAAGTAGAACAAAAGGACATAAAAATTAATTCAGTATGCAACCCTGTACTGGATACTGGTCCAGGACAGGAAAAAAGTTACAATGGAGAAATTTAAAGCAGACCTGTAGAATACTTAATATTATATCAATGTTAAAGTTTCTGATCTTTATAATCTATGACTACGTAAATCAGTGTTCTCATTCTTAAGAAATAAACTGGCTGGTGTGATGGTACACACCTGTAATACCAGCACCTGGGAGGCTAAGGTAGGAGGATCACAAGTTTGAGGTGAGCTTGAATCACATAGTGAGTCTCAACACAGCCTAAGCTATAATAGTGAGACCCTGTCTCAAAAACAAAAAAAAGAAAGAAAAAGAAAAGAAACAAGCAAATTCAAGTATTATGGGTAAAAGGGCAGGAGTCAAAAGACCTATTCTTAAATGGTTCAGAAAAAGGCATTATGTATATATAACAGCGAATGATAAAGTAAATGTAGCAAATAAACAACTAGTGAAACTGGGTCAAGGCTATTTACCTAATAGAGCTTCAGAATACATGAAAATACATGAAGCCAGGCACCAGTGGCTTATGCCTGTAATCCTAGCTATTTGGGAGGCTGAGATCAGGAGGATCATGGTTGGAGGCCACCCTGGGCAGTGAGTTCACCAAGATCCCATCTCAACAAATAGCTGGGCATGGTGGCACCCACCTGTCGTTCCGACTTATGCAGGAATCTGAGATTGGAAGGATAGAGGTTCCAGGCCAACTCAGGCCAAGGAAAAAAAGTTCCTGAGACACCATCTCAATGGAAAAAAGCTGGGCATGATAGTACATGCCCGTCATTCCAGCTGTGGCAGAAAGCTTAAAGTAGAAAGATCGAGATTCAAGCCAGCCTGGGCACCAAGTGAGACCCTATTTCCAAAATAACCAGAGCAAAAAGGGCTGGAAGCGTGGCTTAAGCAGTAGAGCATCTGCTTTGTAAACACAAGGACTGAGTTCAAACCCTGGTACCTCAAAAAGAAAGCCATGCACCAGTGGCTCATGCCTGTAATCCTAGCAACACAGGAGGCAGAGATCATGAGGATCTCAGTTCAAAGCCAGCCCAGAAAAATAGTTTGCGAGACCCTATCTCAAAAAACTCATCACAAGAAAAAAGGGCAGGTGTAGCTCAAGGTGTAGGCCCTGAGTTCAAGCCCCAGTAGTACAATAATTAATTCATTAATGGAGCACAACAGACATAGATGAAAGGAGGAGAAATTCAAAATCAAAGTAGAAAACTTCAACACTTACTCTTCACTCAGCAATCAATAAAAAAGTACATGGAAAATCAGTAAGAACTATAAAACATTGTAAGTTGACTTGACTGTCATTTATGGAACACCTGATCCAAAATAGCTGAATACATATTCTTTTCAACTACACATGGAACATCATCAAAATAGACCATACTGTAAGCCAAAAATAAAATGCTAAATAATTTGAAGAACTGAAGTCATACAAAGTATATTCTGACTATAAAATTTAATTAAACTAGAAACCAGCATCAGAACGTTATCTAGAATGTCCCAATATTTGAAAGTTAAAGAATATACTTCCAACCTTCTAAACAATGACAGTTCAAAGAAAAAATAAAATAGAAATTAGAAAATATTTTAAATTGAATGAAATAAAAACTGGCTTTTCAAAATTTGGAGGAACTGTAGCTAAAATTGTTTACAGGGAAATTAATAGTATTAAGTGCTTTAAAAATTAAGTTCACCTGAACCTCCTAAGAATAAGGCTATCTCTTACATAGGATAATCACCAAAATCAAGAGCTTTAAGAATACAATAATGTAACATGTAGCACATACTTAATTTTCTCCAAAGCTATTAAAAATATCCTTCACTGGGCTGGGGGTGTGGCTCAAGTGGTACAGTGCCTGCATTCTAAGAGCAAGGCCCTGAATTCAATACCCAGTACTGGTAAAAAAAAGAAACCTTCACAGCATTCTGGGATCTCACATTGTATTTTGTTGCCATGTGTCTTTGGTCTCTAATTGGGTAATTCTTTGTCTTTTTAATGAATAGTATAGGCCTAATTATTTTGTAGAATGAACTTTAATTTCAGATTAAACATTTTTCTCATAGGCAGATTTAGACTGTAGTTTTTACTACATTACATGGTGTCTTTCTCAGTGCATGTTCTTTAATCCCTTGGTTAAAGCTGGTGTCAGGCAGGTTTCTCTAAGAAGTTATTTTTCCCCTTTGTAATTAATCAGTAATTTGTGAGGAGATATTTTAAATTCATTAACTTTCACTTACTAGTTTCAACTCAATTGAGATACCTGTCCATATCATTACTGATAGACACAAAATGGTGATTTTTCTAATTCTATCATTCCTCCTGCACTTACAGTTAGCATTTTCCTTAAAGACCTTTCCCTCTCGTAATATATATTTACTCATTATCATTACTAGTCCTGTCTTTTTGTTTCCAGTGTGGGCAGGTGAAAGCCCTGCAAGCTTTCCCCTGTGTCAGGTTAGCATTTTACCCCAGTTTTTGAGCCCTCCTTCACCTTCTGACACAAGATATTCTAGTCTCACTTTGTATTTTCCCTCCTAATCCTATAATTAGCCTTTCATCCAATTCCTAAGGACCCTTTCTTTTAGTTAGGATATCATTCATAAATATAAGTGGATAGCCAATGATTATCAGATATTTGAATCACGACCCAAACTTAAAGATAAGACCAAAATAAACCACTGCAGTGTTGGAGTTAAGGGAAGGTCTTAAAGAAAACAAACAAAACAAGGTCAAGAAATTTTTAAATAATAAACAGCTTTCAAAAAAAAAGACAAGACACTGCACTCTTAAAATAAGAACAAGATACTTGGAGAAAGGAAAAAGCATGGAAAGTGGGGAGGAATAGGACTCTTAAAAACTATGACAGCTTTAAAAACAAATCAGGTCAGGCATGGTGGTACACATCTGTAATCCCAACACTCAGAACACTACCACAGGAAGATAGAGAAATAGAAACCAGCCTAGACTACATAGTGAATTCAAGGCTGGCCTGGGTAATACAGTGAGTTTTAGGTCAGCCTGAGCTACATGACAAGACCCTTTCTCATAAAAAATGGCTTTAAAAAAAGCAAGGAAGCTGGGCGGCAGTAGCTCACGCCTATAATCCTAGCTACTGAGGAGGCAGAAATCAGGAGGATAGCAGTTCAAAGCCAGCCCAGGAAAGTAGTTCGAGAGACCCTATCTTGAAAAATCTTATCACAAAAAAATTGGGCTGGTGGAGTTGCTCAAGGTGAAGGCCCTGAGCCGTAATGATTTCTGCACTTTCCTGCATACTTTTTTAAGTTTAAAAGAAAGTGAGTGAAGCTAGACAAGATGGCTCACACCTGTAATCCCAGCACTTGGGAGGCTAAAACAAGAGAAGCTCAAGCTCAAGGTCAGCCTGGGTTACATGGAGAAGACCTTATCTTAAAAAAAAAAAAAAAAAAAAAAAGTGATCAGTAATTCTTTTTTAAAAGGTTCTCAAAAATCAGATCATACTATGAACATATAGTAGAAAAAGAAACACGTTTCTGAATTTAAGCCTCAAACTAACCACATAATATTCAGCCAGTTGAAAATTGGTTAGCTTCAGAGTACTTAACAATATTACATACTAGAGCAAAAGTGAGAATGCTGAGCAAGAGTGAGTACCCAGTAAGTGCTAAGTTTCTATTTACAGAAAGGTAGAATTTAACACTTACCCAAAGGAAGGCAGGACTCTACGTGGCTGATCTCGGGTAACTGTCACTCTGATCTTTGGATAGTCACTTATTCCATTGGGAGATTTATTACCTATTTTAAGAAAGTATTTGTGATTGTAAAAGAAAAAAAAAAAAGCCTTTGTAAATAGCCTGCATCAGGACAGAAAAATCTGTGAGCAGTTTACATTATAAAACCGAATATTGGGCTGGTGGAGTGGCTCAAGTGGTAGAGTGCCTGCCTTGTGATCATAAGGCCCTGAGTTCAAACCCCAGTACCACCAAAAAAAAAAAAAAAAAATCAAAACTGAATATCTTGGCTTTTTTTCCAAATTCTATTAATAGACAGCATAGTGACCCAGCATAGATACTGTAAAAAGTTAAAGGAAACCAGTAGGATGGGCTGGGATGTAGCTCAGCAGTAGAGCACATACCTAGCATGTGTGAGTCCCTGGGTTCAATTACCAGTACCACAAAAAAAAATAATAATAATAACTAATTAAAATTCAAATATGGACAGACCAAATTCAATTTACATAAGCTTTTTAAAAATAAAATTTAAAAATCCAAAGAAATATCTTTGTTCCAAGCCCTTTGGAATGAGATTCTCAGGCATGGGGTGTGTGTTTACACTCCTTATTTTAAAAGTTTGAGAAGAATAACTCAAAGGTATTTAGCATTTCTTTGGCTTCTTCCACTCTTGACTTCTAAACCACAACTTCTCTAATGTTCATTTGACTAACTTCCCCCTTTTCCTCTCAAACTTTACAAGCCTGCCAATATGGCAGACATTGTAACATTTTTCAGAACTCTGGCTTCTTCCCATCTTTTTTCCCACCATGCCATTTTGTATAGTACATAAAGAAGCACAATTCTGTTTCGAAATCTAATGATGATATGGAAGTCCTTAATACATACAACTGTAAGAACTGGGACCTAAGGTTGCTCATCAAGTAGATGATGAATGCAAGGATAAGGACAAAGTTTTATTATTTTGTAGTTCCTGACAATAACTCAGCACAGTGCCTGGTACACAGTAAGCTCTCAGGAATTTTTTTTTTTTTTTAAATAAATGACTCTTGATCTAAGTCACATTAAGAACACTGATAATACAAACAGGAATCACAAACAGTAAATTCAAAGACAACAATTCTAAAAGAGCTACAGGTTGAACATCCCTTATCTGAAAATCTGAATGCTGCTGATCAAAAAAATTGTGACTTCAGATTTCAGACTTTTGGATCGGAGATGTCCAACTGGTAATGTCCATGCAAATATTCCAAAATTTGAAAGCACTTCTGGTCCCAAGCATTTTGGATAAAGATACTTACCCAACCTGTATTTGCTTTTTAGAAAGGTAGAGAGAATATATCTTTACTCTCATCACAGTCCAAATCAGTGTTTTCCATTCATATTCTCAAAACTTAGGGAAAAATGGCAGAAAGAAGTACAGGGAAGTAAAAATACTTTTGACCACCTCACCCAGTTTCAGCATGTTGTTCCAGGATCCAGAACCTGTCAGTTCACAAGATGAAGAGTTCGAAAATACCTTAAAATCAAACAGAAGCACCTCTGTAGCATCTAAAATTTGCAGTTTAAGTAAGTTTCTAATTTTATATATATATATATATATATATATATATATGTATATATATGTATATGTATATATGTAAAGATCACTCTATTGATGATTATTTTCTTAGCTAGCTCACAGAAGTGACATCACCATTGAGATGAAAGACTTAATTTGTCAGAACTCATAAAATGATATAAAAAATGACAATTACAGGTTCTTCACACATACTTAAATAAGAAAAGCAGAAGCAGTAGCATTCTTTGTATTTTTTAAATGTTAAGTTGTTTGGTTTTTCTAAAGGAGGTAAAAAGTTTTTAGTAAAGCAAAGTAAAACGGGAGACATAAGGGGGAAGAGAAAGCAACCATTCACATGCAAAGGGTGAGAGCAGAAGGCTCAAAGTTTTTAATTTCTTGACCTTTATATCACAGCTAAAAAAAGACATGAAATTATCTAAAACTTAACTTTAATGGTTAAGTACAAAGATTAGCAGCTCTTGGGGTTAAGGGGAGTAACTCATGCTTAGCATGCACAAGGCCCTGAGATCAATCCCCCGCACACACACAAAAAAAGTACCCCCAATGGAACCCCATCCCCACTGACCTCTCCTGAAGGGGCCACATTCCGTGTTCCATTACAAGCAGAAGTTACCATGGGCTTTGTGGTCAGCTGGAATGGGAATCCAAATAAGCTGGCAGCATTGTAGAGACTGTTTTTCACTTGGTGAATAAAGCAATCTAGAAAATATCAACAAACTATAAATCTAGAGTAATAAACCTTCAACAAAAAGTTAGATTGTATCTTGGAAAGAAGGACTCTCATTTTTATTAAAGTCCCTATTGAAATAAAAAGGCATCCATAATTTTTTTTTTTTTTTTTTAACTGGAATACTACAAATTTTTTTTTCAGTGTTACTGGGGCTTAAACTCAGGGCCTCAAACTCAGGGCCTCATGCTTTCAAGGCAGGCACTCTACGACGTTAGCCACACCTCCAGCCTTTTTTGGTCTTATTTTTCAAATACAGTTTCACACTTATGCCCAGGCTAGCCTGGACCATAATCCTCCTACTTATACTTCCCCAAGTAACTGGGATAATAGGCAGGAGTCACCATGGCCACTTTTTATTGGTTGAGATGGGGTCTTGAGAACTTTTGCCCAGGCTGGCTTCAAATTGTGATCCTCCCAAACTCTACCTCCCAAGCACCTGGGATTACAGGCTTGAGGGGCCCAGCTGTTTAGTTTTAATGCTATAAAAATATAAAACCACTACTTAACAAATCTAAACTAATTCACAAAGAAATGTCCTGAGTTTAGCAGATTTTTAACACTGAGTTCTCCAGAATATATAAGATGATTTTTTTTTAACCAGACAAGAAGGCATGATTAAACAAGGAGCATTTACTGCTAGATATGGCAGAATCCTATAGGAAGCACTGCCATTTACTCACTGGCTCATCCTTCCTTTCCAGGCAGGTAACAATATAGTTGCCCTCATTAACTATTTACTAAGCCCCTATTATGTCTTGGCTACGTGAAGTATAAAATACACAGCTCCTAGCCGGGCACTGGTGGCTCACACCTGTAATCCTAGCTACTTAGGAAGCTGAGATCAGGAGGATTGCAGTTTGAGGCACCTGGGCAAATAGTTTGAGACCCCAACTCCAAAATAACCAGAGCAAAATGGACTGGAGGTGTGGCTCAAGTGGTAGAGCACTTGCTTTTCAAGCATGAAGCCCTGAGTTCAGCCCTTAAGCATCTATGATGAAACAAACTACTGGATTAGATGTATTAGATGATCTCAGACTGACCTCTTCCGACCACCCAAAACAAAGATTACAAAACAAATCAGTAAACAAACAAGGAACAGGGGTAGATTTCAGTGCTTCCCTACTTCCTCCTTTTAAATATTACCTCTTTCTCACTTCCTGCACATCTATTTTTCTACAGTTTCCTTTCTATGTCCTAATTAAGGGTACTGTAAAGCAGTAGTACCTACATCAAAGAAAAACAGCCTGAAATGGTGGCTTTAAGCAGTAATAGCTCCAGGATATGTAAAATAAGTACTTTTCAGAAAGACAGTAACTTAAACAAATGGGAGGATGTGTTGGCTAGGTAAAGCAGAATCCAACTTAAAGTAATCTGCTACTCAATAATAGTTAAAAGAACCAGAGTTTGCAGAGTACGGTGGAGCATGCCTGAAACCCCAGCAGTTAAGAGGCTGAGGCATTGTAAGTTGGCAAGCAGATAGCAAGTTGGAGGCCAGCCCGAGCACATAGCAAGTTTTAAGGCCTGCCTAAAATACATAGAGACCTGTCCAAAAAAAAGTACCTAAATTTGCAAATGAGCTGCTTTTCATTTGAGGAATCAGAGAATTCCAAGTTACTCCTATAATATCTGTGCTTTCTAGGTGAGAGAAAAGGAGCATTAGAGATAGATGCTTAACCCAAAGACTTCCAGTCAGAGGACAGGATGTACTCCTGATAATACAGTAAACAATAGTACTATAACGTTGTATTTTCCTATAAATTTTGTCAAAACCTAGTATGCCCTGAGATTATGTCAGAACAAGATTTCGTTTGTTTGTTTTTTGAGATAACATCTTGCTGTGTGGTCCAGGCAGACCTCAAACTTGAAATCTTCCTGCCTCATCCTCCTGAGTGGGCCACCATTCCCAGCATGACTTTTTTTTTTAAAAAAAAAAGGAAGGCAGTCCTACCTCATCTACAAAATGAGGATAAGACTACTTTATTTTCCTGAGACTAGACTAAGTTGATATTTTATAATCCCTTTCATCTATAAAATCACGAGCCTGCAATTATGAGGTTCTCTTTCTTTCATTTTACCCTTTGCTTTTTTTAACTGAAAAATGGAATTCCAGTACTGTGGTATTTGTTTTTTTTAATAAATATCTGAGATGCTACAAAACATGAGTAGCTTTAACAAAAGCTACCAATAGTTGTACAATATAATAGCCAGACGTAGTTTTACCTAGCAATTTCATTTAAATTAATTAAAATTAAAATTCAGTTCCTTAAGGCCAGACACTGGTGGCTTACACCTATAATCCTAGCTATTCAGGAGGCAGAGATCAAGAGAATAGCAGTTTAAAGACAGCCTGGGAAAACAGGGCTGGTTGAGTGGCTAAAGTGGTAGAGCGCCTGCCTTGCAAACATAAGGCCTGGAGTTCAAACCCCAGTACCACATACAAAAAAAAAGAAAATCATAATACATACTTAATGGAAATGAAGAAGTAGGTGATCTTTAACATAGAGCAGCACAAATAGATGATCACCCAAAATAAGTAATTCAGGAGTCTTCTATAATACCAGCAAAGTTTTTTTTTAACTACATCCAAATACAAGCTAATATTTAATTATATTTATCATTAATACTGACTTATTTTTTTGCTTCAATAAATGTATTTACCTTATAAAGAAATGAAAACATATTAAGCTGGGCATGGTGGCAAATGCTTATAATCCCAGCTACTCAAGAGGCAGAGGCAGAAGACACTTCAAAGCTAAACCAGCCAAAAGCTGGCAAGACCCTATCTCAAAAACAAAATACAAAATAAAAGGACTGGGAATGTGGCTCACATGGTTGAGTCCTTGCCTAGCATTGGAGAGGCTCTGGGTTCAAACCCCAGTGCCTTGAAAAAGAAAAGAAAGCACAACATGTTAAGTTGTTGCTGAGCTTGTTTGAAAAATGAGAAATTAAAATGTACTGGACAAGTATTGCAGACATACCAGCACAAAATCAAGATTTTGCTTAAAATAATCAGAAAAGTAAAAACTGAAAAGAACATAACTTCCTTTGTATATAGCCATAATTTAAATATAAAATGCTGTCAATGTTGTATCCTCTAAAATCATCTCCTGAGCCTGGCACTGGTGCCTCATGCCTATAATCCTAGATACTCAGGAGGCAGAGGTCAGGAGGATGGAGGTTCGAGGCCAGCCAAGGCAAATGGCTCACGAGACACTATCTCAAAAATACCCATCACATAAAAGAGCTGGTAGAGTGGCTCAAGTGGTAGAGTGCCTGCCTAGCAAGCAGGAGATCCTGAGTTCAAACCTCAGTATCACAAAATATAAATAAATAAAATAATTTCCTGAATTGGTGTCTATCCCTAGTGAGTGTAGTACACATTCCTGTTCTTCAGAAATCTATAATTTGACCTATCTTTATGGAAAGTTTTCCTGAGCTCTATCCATTATTTTCTGAATTTACACAACTTGTTTGTATGGTTCCCTCTGCCTAGAATGCTTTTCCTTCCTACCAATCTCTTTTGATATCCTATCCATCTTTCAAGATCCACCTCACACCCTAAACCCTTCATCAAACACTTACCAGACTCTCAAGTTCATGATTGGCTAGGTTTTTGTTACAATCTTCTTTATTTCACTTATCATGTCTTCACTGACATCAGATTATTTACATATTTATACCTCCTACTGTATAACCATGTAAGGCCCTTAAAAATAGAGACCCTGTTTAACCCATCTTTGTATTTCCTGAAGAACACATTGCTTTATATCAAGACATGCTCAATAAGTACTCATTGGATTTAAATGAAGTATCAACCCAGGTCAAAGTCAAGTATCACATCTGGAATAGACCCAAATTCAGTCATTGTTAAGAAAAATGAATATATTATTCTACTGTGCCTTTTCCCTTTAATCTAGTTTTATTTTCTTCTAGCTAGTCCATCAGATATAGGGAAGTAAAAGATTTGAGACAACAAATTAGGTTGGTTCACTCAGCCAGCTGAACTTGATTGCTCAGTTATAACTATTTTTATGTTTTCACCTCAAAAATATAAAGCATCTTTTCCTTGCAAAATGGTACACATTCAATACACAGACTTATTTATATGAAAAGATACCAAGTCCCTGATAACAGTGATTATGTCTGGAAAAGATAATGTAATAAGAAAGAGACTTACTTTTATCACATACACTTTTTACCTTTTGAATTTTGTTCCATGCACATATTTTTCCTATTAAAAAACTTATTTTTAAAAATGTAGTACCTAATCTTGGTCTTTTAGCTGGTATTTCATCAGTGTCCACCGTAGAAAACAGAGTGCTGAAAAGAAAGAAAGAAAATATATTTGTGTGTGTGTATATATATGTGGATAATATATATATAATTATCCATTTCTATAAATAAACTTATTATTCAGGGCTGGGAGTATGGCTCAGTTGTAGAGCATGTGCTGACCATGCAAAAGACTCTGGGTTCAATCCCTAGCTTCAGAACCTTATTATTCATACAACACATTCTTCTTCCATCCACTTTATCATAAAATGAGATCCAACTGATGTTGTAAGAGAATGCTATTCTACAGTAAGCCTTTAGAATTTGGAGATTTAACACTGGTTTCAACTATTTGAGAAAGACCCAAAACTCCCTACCACATAATAATCTATAATCTGACAAAACGCAAACAACAATTTGTATTTGAAACAACGATCCCAAAGAAAGTCATCTTTTATATCAGGTAACTATATAAGCAGCCTTGACACCATATACATGTGTGTGTATGTATTATATTTACATACATACATATACATATATATACGTATATATATGTATATATATATATATATATATATATATATATATATATATATATATATATACACACACACACACACACACACACATATATTTTTTTTCCCTCAGTGCTGGCTGGGGATTGAACCTAGGACCTACAAGCTAGGAAAGTTCTCCACTGCTGAGTCACACCTACAGCCCCTAAAAAGTTATTTTAAATGAAGGATATGAGTTCTGAAAGTGTAGTGAAGAAGAGGGGTTTGATCTCCAAACTACTGCTGCCCTGGCTAACAAGAAATTTATGTCAAAAAAATAGACTAAATCCTGGTAGACCATGCCTGTAATCTCAGCACTCAGAAAACTCAGGCAGGAGGATGGGGAGTTAAAGGGCAGCCCCGGCAGTATGAGAGACCCCTAAAACAAAACAAATGAGAGGGTGGAGAGAGAGAGGAAATATGAAAATGAATAAGAGTAAGGGAATTAAGAGCCTCTATTCAATAAATCAATAAACGTGTTCAAGTTCTTATGCACCAGACTGCACAAAACCCTCAGGGAGAAATAAACAAATACTACCCTTACATATATTAAGCATCAATTTAGGCACTTAATAAATAACATGTTCTTAAACATCAACCTTAATGAAAGGTAGAAACCATGTGTTTCTACAATACATGTTACAATTTAGTCAACAACTAATTTCATCAATGACCTACATTCTCAGACTCATATAGTAATCATTTTGTTCTCTCAAGCTCACCAAAGCCATTTGCTCAACTCCCTTGATCTTGCACTTAATTAAAAAAAAAAATGAAGCCAGATCTAATGATCTGTAATCCCAGCACTGGAGAGGCTGAGGCAGGAGGATCTCAAATTCAAGGTCAGCCTGTACACTGTAAGGAGACCCAGAGAGAGAGAGAGAGAGAGAGAGAGAGAGAGAGAGAGAGAGAGAGAGAGAAGGGTGGATTAGCTGGGGGTGTGGCTCTCAGTGGTAGAGTGCTCACTTGCCATTACCAGCACCGCCAAAAGAAAAAAAAGAAAAGAAAGAAATTAACACTTGATGACCAAGTGTGCAGAATTTAGTATTTTACTTCTAGGTTCTTAGGCAAACGGGTTGATACTATAACAAGAGATAAGCGAAGGAATAAATACTAAGTAACAATTTGTAGCTTCCTTCGAATTTTAACTAATTTTAATGTGCACTCTAGTGATCTTTAGAGGGAGTGCAGTACCTTTTTTTTAATATATATATATATACACTAATTCCAAAGCACAGAACTACTCTCCTTCCCCTTCTGGCCACACACACACTGTTTGACAGCTGTTTTAAAACAAGACAGCTGCTGTTTCTTGCGGCTAAGAGAACAACACTTGCAGTCAAAACGACTTGGGCCAGCTACGAACCTCAGTCCCTTTCGCTGCACTTATTGTCGGTAGATGACACTTTGGAGTGTGCCTTCCAGACAGTAAACACAACAAAGATAGGATTTCTTTAGTTTTTAGTATTTAGCCCAAGAGCAGGAAAATACGACAAAGACTCATTTGTTGTCAGCAACCAGCTTGGACTCTAACAACATTAAAGATTCTGCCATCGCCGATCACACCAAAGACAACCGGCTCCCTCCTTAAGCGGGAACCGCGTCCCCACGGCGTGGCGGGAGCGACTACGTCACCAGAACACCCGCGACCCGCCGCTCCCGGGCCTCAGCCCAGCCTCCCGCTGACTCTGAACAGGGCTGCGGGGATGCACGCACCCTATCCACATAGAGGAGCAGCGGTGGGGGAGGGGACGGTCAGGCCGGCCGGAGGCTCCCTCCAGGCTCACCTGTTCGAGCGCCGCCTCTTCAGGAGGGCCCGGGAAGGGGGCACCGACCGGTCGCAGAAACGGAAAATGGTGCCGAGAATCCTAACCAGCCATCTGTACATACCAGGCCCGAGCAGCAGCGGCGGCCGACACACCCCGAGACGCAAACCCCAGAGCTGTCGCCGCCGCTGCCGCCTAAGCCACCCCGGCCACCGCTGCCAAGATTCAGTCGCTGGCTTGTGACGCGATTCCTGGGCCCACACATTCAACGTTTGCTGGGCTTAGGGAGGTCCCCGCCGGCCACCGCTCCTGACGTCACCTCCTCCCCCCGGACCGGAAGGCTTCATCCTTAATCTGCGCACGCGCAATCTAGCTCCGCCCACTACTCGCGAGCCTAGCAACAAGCAAGCCGGCGGGACCCGGCCCAATCGCTGACTAGAACGGGGAGGGCAGTGGGCGGGGCTTTCTCTTTGGCGGACCGGTCCTGATTTGGCCGGAGGGACAACGCCCACAGACCACGTGTGCAGCTGCTGGACTCTGGAGGCAGCCTTCCGGAGTAGGGAGGGTGGTTGGTGCTCAGTTCGTAATGGAGGGGAGACAAACCCCAGTCTCACCAAAACAATAAATAAATGAATAAATAAATACAGTAGATGAGGTTAATTAACAAGCGTTTGACGTTTTAGGCGCTCTTTATTTTGCGTATGTTTTGTGTTTCATGTTTTACCTGAATTGTTACCATATCTCCCAGCTAATGCCATAGGGAATCCTGCCCGTCAAGGAAATCGGGCCATACAGCAATTTAACAAAGCTAGGTACTGGCACTGTTGGAATTTGAATCCGAGTCTCAGTACCGGCCTCAGTTCCAGTAGAGGTCATTCTACTGGGGTAGACATGTACATAGATAATTACAAATTACAATACAGGATAACGGGCTGCTGTGATAAAGGAGTGTGCCGAGTGCAGTGGAGTTAGAGAAAGGAAAACCACATGCTGGGGGAGAAAAGAGGGCAAAACTACACAGGAAGCCTTCACAGAAAAAGGATGAGAGCTGGGGGCGTGGCTCCAAAGGTAGCCCTGAGTTCAAACCCCAGTACCGCCAAAAAGAAGGGAAGGAAGGGAGGAAGGAAAAAAAAAGAAAGAAAATAAAAAAGGTCAGAGATGAAAGATAGCTGTGGTCTTGTAATACACTTATCTCCTTTCAGGGCAGGCAGAGAATGATTCTCATTATCTTCCCTATAAAATCTAGAGGTCACATTTCAAGTTAATTATCACTTATAAATAAATAGGTTCCACCCTATTTGGTAACAGAAAATCCACTCTTCTTTCCCAAACAACCCTGAGAATCCTCAAAGGTTTTCATGCTCCACAAATCCTTCCCTGACTGCACTTGTTCTTTGCCTGTGATTCAGTTAAGGCCCATCTTCCAGACTTGCTTAAACTTTAACCCAGGCACTCCCCACTGCAGCCTTCTCTCTGCAATAGACAGCGTTCAGAATTCTGCTACAAGCCACCCACCTGTGGCCACTAGCACTGTGGCCTGAGAGGCAACGGGAAGATCTTCCAGGGCAGAATCCATCTTAAGTGTGGACACAGACCCATTAACTTCCCAAAGAATAGCAAACACCAGGTTGTTACTGAACATTGTGTAGGGAAATTTTAAATTTACTATTCTCCCGCTCAAGGCTTGATAATTTTAGACTATTAATAAACTACCAATAAACAGATGAATAGGAAAAAAGATATCAAATTTGTTAATATGCAAAAATATAGGAGCCATACACACAAATAGGAAACTTAAAGAAAAGATAGAGTTGAGGCTGAAACAGAGCTAGTGAAAAGGAAAGGGGCTTGGGCTTCTAGAGGGAAGGGAGGTAGTGATGGGCTAAGGAAGTTTGAGGTGGACGGCATACAGAGAAGGTAGTCTTCTTATACAGGTAAAATCTCCCAGGTAGCAGCCACATGTTGGATCCCCTCCAGTGTCCCTTTCCCTCGTGTGTGTGTGTTTTGCTGGAACTTGAACCCATGGCTTTGTGAAGGGTAAGCAAGTGCTCTATCACCAAGCTATGGCCCAACCTCTTTCTATGCTGTTTCAGGATGATCTCTCTTTTCTTGTCTTTTATTTCTTGTTTGTTTCTTGTTGTAAAGGAAGGTTTATTTATTTATTTTTGATGGGACTGGGATTTGAACTCAGGGCTTCATGCTTGCAAAGCAGGTGCTATACCCCCAGAGCCAAATCCATTTTGCTCTGGTTATTTTGGGTTATTTTGAGGTCTCGAGAACTATTTGCTTGGACTAGCCTCCAACCTCAGTCCTTCCCGTCTCAGCCTCCTCAGTAGCTAGGATTACAGGTATGAGCCACTGGCACCTGGCTAGGAAAGGTAAATTTGAAGACTAAGTTTCTGTCTTTTTCTATTATTGAATTACTAAAAGTGGTTGGATCGATTTTTCACCAAGCTTGGGATTTTTGTTTGGAGAAGTCTGTCTTAAAATATAAGCCTTGGACTAACTCTAAAATTAACTTTGGTTGGCTCTATGAAGAGTCTCAGAAGAGAGACACGGGGATAAGTTGAAAGTGAGGAGCAACCAGGAGAGAGATGTTACCAAGAGAGAAACACCTTGCTGCCTGAGACAACGTGAACCCCCCCACCCTAACCACACACACACACACACACACACACACACACACACACACACTCACACACACACTCACACACACACAGTTCCCGATGATTCCAAATGATGACCCAAGATACAAGTCACAAAGATTGACTTTCCAAATTATGGACTTTTTCCATTGAATTCCTTTCACACAGGCAACTCTGTGTGCATGTTCCAGAAAATATAGTGATTATCTAATGAATGTTCTGGATTTGCTCGACTGGCTGGGAAGCCAGCCAAGTTAAAATACACACAGAAATACGGCTCTAAAATAATATTTCAAAAAAAGATCCAAATAAATCTCTCTCTCTCTCTTTTTGGTGATCCTGGGGCTTTGCACTTGCTAGGCAGGCACTCAAATAAATCTTAAATACATGGCACCAATAGACAATTATTTAAATACCGGAATTCCCTCAAATTTTGTTTATTCCTTAAAAAAAACTTCTAGTAAGAAAAAACATTTTGCTCCTGTCTTGCCTTATTCCTTGAAGTCCTTGAAATTTCTGTGTAACACTCTGAAAACAAGCACTTACTAAAAGAGCTGGACATGTATTCATTTTTTTGGTTTCGTTTGGTTTGGGTTTTGTTTTTATGAGACAAGGTCTTTCTAGGTAGCCGAGGTTGGCTTCAAACTCTCCATCCTTTTGTCTCAGCCTCCCCAGTGCTGGTATTATAGATGAGACATACCATGCCCTGCTTTGTTTTTATTTTTGAGACAGGGTTACTGTGTGGCCCAGACTGGTCTTAAACTGGAGATCCTCCTGCCTTAGCCTCCTGGTGCTGGGATGTACCACCAGAATGGATGATTTTGTTATATTGTGAGTCATAGCTTCTAAAATAAAGTAGCTTTAGGCCTTGAAAAAAATTGAAACCGGGCACCAGTGGCTTACACCTGTAATCCGAGCTACTCAGGAGGCAGAGATCAGGAAGATTGCGGTTTGAAGCCAGCCCAAGGCAAATAGTTGCATGAGACCCTACCTAAAAGAAAGAAAAAAAAATCACAAAATAGACTGGTGGAGTGGCTCAAGTGTAGTCCCTGGGTTCAAACCCCAGTACCACAAAAAAAAAAAAAAAAAGAAGAAGAAATGGAGGGACTTGGGAGGGGTATCTTGCTATGTTGCCTAGGCTGACCAGGAACTCCTGGGTGATCTTCCTGTCTCAGCCTCCTGAGCAGCTGGGACTACAAGTGCACAGGACTGTGGCTGCATGAGAAGTACTCATGAAGCCAGTATGCAAAAGTTTTTCTTCTTGTTTTGCAACAAATTACCAAAAAAAGTTTTTGGTTTGCATGATAATGTTGACATATAAATACACTTATCTTTTATATTGTTATATATTTTAGTATAGTATGCATTGTTTTATGTTATGTTCAGTTACACACTATATCATATAATCTACTAGTATAAGTAATTAGCCAAAAAAAACCAGACTCTTATTCCCTTGAAGATCCCTAACCATGGCACACAAAGGTCTTCAGAGCCTGTCTTCAAATCACTCTATCATTTCCCTATTTATACACACCATACTCTTAAACCACACTTCTTTCATACTTTTAAGATTGTTCCCTCTATCTGAAATGCCCTTCCCCATGCTTTTCACCTGACAAACCCCTACCTGGTCTCTGGAACCCAGAACAAAAGATACCTCCTCTGTGAAGATTTTCTAATACCTTCTTCCTCTAGGATTCCCAAAATCTTATTGTTTCCTTCTCTGCTGTCATATAGAATTTCTATCCATGTCTCTGCATAGCATTGTCACTACTACCATTATTATCATCGATGCTGTCTCCTTTAAAGAAGGAAACTTATCCTGTTATGTCCTTATTTCTTTTAATGGAGGCTCAAGAAATGTTTCATAAATGAAAGAATGAAGAAAAGAAATATGCCAGGTGTGGTGGCACATAGTTGTGATCCCACTTACTCAGGAGACTGAGGCAGGAGGATCAAAAATTGAATGCTAACCGTAGTAACTTAACAAGACCTTGTCTCAAAATAAAATTTAAAAGGGGCTAGGGATGTAGCTCAGTGGTAGAGCAATTGCCTAGCATGCGTGAGACCACGTATGAAAGAAATGGGACAAATGTGTGGTCTGGGGGAATGCTACCCTAACTTCCTTGGAGGATATGAATTGAGAAAACAGACATCTTTCTACACTTGGACTCCAAGTGAGAGACGCCAAGGTCATTGATGTGGATGGGAAAACACAAGGGTGTTACAGTGAGTCATATATCAGCATAGAGCCCTAGACCAGGATGGGTGGGGACATAGGTCACCTTTCCTGGCTATTGAAACCAATGAGAGTCATAAAACCACCTCTCCTCAGTTCCATCACATTTCCATACCTGTTTTTCCTGTCCACTCATTTGGAAGCTTGCTTGCCCCTTTCTACTCTGCTCTCTGTGGCAAGTGATTTCCAGGTTAAAGAAAAAAGAAAAAGTGGCCTGGGGGACATGGCTCAAGTGGTAAAGTACTCAAGGCCTTGAGTTCAAATCCCCAAGATGGGAGCTGGAGTAACGAACCAGTTTACATAATACTAGGTTGAACTGAGGGAAACTGTGACATTCTTGAGCTGTGATCATTTATCAGTGGCATAGAATTGAGATAATCTTGATGGAAGATAAAGAAATGGGCCTTCCTTAGAAAATATTTAAATACATATTTTTTTCAAATGCTTATAAGAGTTGATCCATTTTTAGAGGGGTTTTTTTTAGACTCTTTATTTATTTATTTACTTACTTACTTTTATAACACTGAGGCTTGAACTTTCAGTCTTGAGTTTGCTAGGCAAGTGCTTTACTACTGGAGTCACACCCCAAGTTCTTTTTGGAGTTTTTGTTTTATTTTGCTTTTTGCATTTACTGGGGTTCTAATCCAGGGCTTCATGCTTGCCAGGCAGCTGCTCTACCCCTTGAGATACAACTCTAGTCTTTTCTTGGCATTTTAAAAACATCTTTTATATTTAAGTCATTACTGGTTCAAAGGAAGTTGAAAAAAATAGTAGTACAAGGTGGTCTTGTGTATCCTCACTCAGGTTTCCCTAATTGTAGCATCTTACCTAACTAGTAATGTACTATCATTGACATTGATAAATCCCACAGAACTCATTTAGATTTCATTAAATAACATGTACCTGTGTTTATGTGCATATATTTCTATTAGGTCTTACTCCTTGTATAGATTTCTGTAGTCACTACAATTAAGATACAGAGCTATTGTATCACAAAAAGATTACTTGTGGGCCTGGGATATAGCTCAGTGGGAGAGTGTTTACCCAGAATTCTTGAAGCCTTGGATTTAATCCCTACCAACCCAAAAATATTAAAAGAGCCCTGTGCTATCCCTTTACATAATATCCATTCTCGTTTCCTTTCTCCCAGCCTTCGGGAATGCTTTATTTTCTTATATTTGATATTTTTTACTAATTTAAAGTAGAGGAAGTTTCTGCCACTGATTCTTGTGCTGTTTTGAATGTTAGAAGAAGAAAGTAGCACACAGCTAGGAAGTAAGGGGAACTTTTGTGCTCTAACCATTAACAGTAACACAACTCACATCAGGAATGATTCTTATTCCTATAACTGGCTGTTTTCCAAAAGCACTTACACTGGTTCTCTCTAGATAAGTACTTGGCATGCTAGTCAAAACTGATAGGAATTCAGCAAATATTTATCAGGCATGTACACGAATCCAGCAGGGAGCAATGAAGTCCTTGACAGGTTCCTAAGAGAAACATGAAATAATTCTCCATTTGTTCCAGAGGGTGACTGTTCTCAAATTAGTAAGGCTTGGAGCAGGTGGAAAAATAGAAAAGCTGGCAGGCCATGGATTTGAGTTTCCTATTCACATTTCCCTAGTTAATTTTTCCAAGTAGGACACAAAAAATGGACTACAATGCGAGCTGTCTTTCACGTGAAACCTTATGACTCCTCAAATCCAGCCTGGACACCTATGGCAGCAGTGCACTCCCCAGCCTTCGGAGGGGAGAGAACAGTGTAGGTCCTATGACCAGCAAGGTAGGCACAGTAGTAGGCACAGTGCTAAAGGATTTGCTGTGCTCTCTCATTTAATCCACTTACTAACCTTATGAGATGTGCAATCTTGCTGTCTTCATTTGGCAGTTGAGAAAACTAGAATTTTGAGAACTTGAGTGTTTTTGCTTAGTGAGTGGAAGACATGAAATTTAGCTCAGATTAGTCATTAGGTCTGAAGTGTGACACGGAAACCCAGGCATAGTACTTTTTTGCGTGCAGTGCTGGGGTTCAAACCCATGGCCTCCTCTACGCTAAGCAAGCGCTCTACCACTGAGTTACACCCCTAGTCCTTAATTACCTCCCAGCTGCGGAGCACAAGTTTAGTTACGTCTAATACTGAGGTGGAAAGATTCTGGCGTAGTTCTGTAGTTAAGGTTTTTATTTACTTTTCCTTTAAAAAGAGAAGAGCTAGTAGAGAGGTAGGAACTCAGGATTGAAAGAAAAAACGTATCCAGCACTCAGGCAGCTAAGGCTCCAGATCATGATTTCAAGACCAGCCTGTGCTACATAGCAAGACCCTGTCTCAGAAAAGGAGGAGTATGACAAGGAAGAGCGGAAGAAAGGAAGGAAATAAAATTTCCTTTAATCTGAAGCATAGTTCTGGTTTGCAAATACAAGTATATAATGGGACATGATGAAATGTTCTTAATAAAAATCTAAAGACTACTTCATGAGGAATGAGTGTAAAAATTAACATAAAAAGTGGTTTTATATACACAGCCAGCAGAATGCTAAGTGGATTTGTCGTTTCATTCACAAGAACCAGGAGAGGAAAGACTTCAAATCACACTTGATTTCAACACACCAAGCCAAACAACTAATAAACCGCCCACAGAGAATGAAACTATTTTAAACTCGTCAGTCTGCAAATGCAAATTATAATAGTAAGATATGCATAAAACTGTGTAGGATAGAAAGTACCTGACCTTTTATTGAAAGGAGGAGGAGTCGAAAACCTGAAAGGGTTAGAACCTGTCAGCAGCCCGGTCTGCATTCGATCCCTGGGGAACTTCCTGTTGTCACCACACCTCAGGATTAGTTATCTGAGCTCTCCGTGAGCAAAACCCTAACCTGAAGTGGAAACTCTAAGTAAGGCACTGCGAAGTAGATCATCCTTCTTGGGAAGGCGACACTTCTCTCCAGGCTCCATATGCTGAAGTTATATTTACTCATCAGCTTGATATGCTTGGTGAGATCAGGTAGGTCATTTATCAAATGCTCTTCTTAAATAGTTTTAAAATAGTAGTATTGTGATTTTGCAATCATCAGCCCATTTCCTTCAGTGGACTTCTTAAGTTCACTTTTAAGGAAGGAACATATGGGTAAAATGAGCTTTCTAATTGAAAGAAAAATTTTCTTGATAATGAAAGAAGCTATTATTTTTTGGATTAACTTTTATGTACAAAAATTGAATGTGCTGAAAAAGCTAAAATAGTGTCTCTTTCATAGCTGAATTTTCTGTGCCTTTCCATCTATATGAAATGAGATCACCTGTTTTCTGAAATTTAAAAGTAATTATTTTATGATACTATATAGAGAAGAATTTCATGCATTGAGTGTATATTTAAGTTATTCTTTTAAATACCATAATTTTACATACATAAATTCCTTACAATGGTGCCTGGCGTGTTGATAACTTAAAAATTATTAATCATCAGATTGGAGGTGTAGCTTACAGGTAGAGCACTTGCTAGATGTGTGAGCCCTGTGTTCCATCTCAGCACCAAAAAAACAAAGAAAAAGAAGATAATGAAGAAATCAAAGTACTAATATTCATGATAAGCTAACAAAAATAAAGTGACATGCTTAAAAAAACAAACAAGCTACTCATCACTTCTCAGCCTTCTTAGAAACCCAGTACTTTTGCCCAAACCCAGTACTACACACAGAAAAAAAAGAAACCTAGTTTTTTTTTTTTTTTTAACATAGCTTGTGATTATGAAGATTGCATAAGTTTTAAAGGGCAAGGGGGAAATCTGTTATGTGTTACAACCCATAAAAATGTTCCTGACCTCTGAGCTAGTAAAGTCATTGCTGGGAATTTATTCTAAAGAAATAACTTTTTAAAAAAAGGTTTTGGTGCCAGGTATCAAACCAAGTACTGTCTGCATACATACAACAAGCACTATGTGTGCTGAATGTATACATAGGCAGCACACTACTACTGAGCTACATCCCAGCCCCAAGAAATAACTTTTAAAATAAAACAAAACCCTTTTATGCAGAGGCAAGTCTATATTACTTATAATAATTTATAATTAGATGTAAAAGAAATATTCAAAGCAAAAACCCTTGTTCCTTCCTATTATTGCTTATACTCTCTCTACAACAAAATTAGAAATAAGGGCAAAATAGTTTCTGCTGGGTATTGAGGGCGGGGAGAAGGAGGGGGAGAGTGGGTGGTAAGGGAGGGGGTGGGGGCAGGGGGGAGAAATGAACCAAGCCTTGTATGTACATATGAATAATAAAAGAAAAATGAAAAAAAAAAGAAATATTCAATGAAGTTTCGAAGGAAAATAGAAAATTTTAAGCAATTACATTTGGATTTCAGGCTTATACCACATATCTTGTTTTGTTGTTTCTTTATTTGTGTATTTTTTATTTTTTGTGGTGCTGGAGATCAAACCTAGGGACTTTTGCATGCTAGACAAGTGCTCTATCATTAAGCTACATTTCTAGCCCTCAATATATGATTTTGAAGTTAAATTGCTAATAAGTTAAAATTATACTAATGATAATATATAACTGAGAAGTCAGTATTTTGACACATATATTTATTATCATTTTCAAAATTTAAAATGATTAAATTTAGAGATATCTTAAGGGGATGGGCTAATCCTATCACAAAACCCTTCTGATCGATTGTGGGTACTTTCTTCTTTCAAGAGTCTCCTTTATGTCTGTACATTCAAATTGGAATAATGACAACTTTTTTGTGACCTGCCTTCTTCCTAACATCTTCTCATAAGTAAAGTCTTGTTTTAAGTGATACTGGAAGACTGTGGCTCCTGCAAGTTACAATCTAAGCAGAGATACACCACAACAAATTTCTTTTTTTTTTTTTTGGTTCTTTTTTTATTCATTTATTCATATGTGCATACATTGTTGGGGCCATTTCTCCCTTCCACCCCCCTTGCTTCCAGGCAGAACCTATTCTGTCCTTTTCTCCAATTTTGTTGAAGAGTAGACATAAGCAATACTAAGAAAGACAAAGCATTAACCACAACAAATTTCTGTGGCTGTAAACTAAATCTAGACTTCTCAGTGTCTATGAAACTATGAACTTGGATCTTTTGTGGGGTGGATAATACGCATGGGATAGCAACAATTATTAATTATAAATGCTGAGACTTTTATTTCTCCTTTCTTTGTCTTGAAGTCCCCAAAATTAGTATTAAGATGGGATTCAGACATCCCAAGGATATAAATCATTCACTTTCAGAGGTTTTTGTTTTGTTGTTCTAATTTTTGTGAAGTCATGTTAGGAATGTTTGCCATATCTTACCAGAGGACACACCAACAATCAGCATACTCTAAAGTGCACGAGAATCACCTGGAGGGAGGGGGCAGTTAAAAATGCAGAAACTCCACTCCCAAACATGCCCACTCAATGAGTCTGGAGAGAAATATCAGAATCTCAAGGGTTTTTTCTTTTTCTTTTTCTTTTTTTTTTTAAAACAAGACCTCAAGGTTTTTCAGCCTCAGGTGAAATTAAGTCTGTTTGACTTAATTGTATCGTATCGTAAAAAGTTAGTCTGTTGTCATATTTTGGCCCATGGCAACTGTGTAAAACTAGGTTGAGCCAGGGGCTAGTGGCTTATGCCTGTAATCCTAGCTACTCAGAGGTAGAGATCAGGAGGACAGCGGTTTGAAGCCAGCCTGGGCAAATAGTGTGTGAGACCCTATCTCAAAAAAAACAAAAAACAATCATAGAAAAAGGGCTGGTGGAATGGCCCAAGGTGAAGGCGCTGAGCACAAACCCCAGTATCAAAAAAGCAAAAACAAAAACAAAACTAGGTTGACATTTTCCCAGAAAAAACTTTCAGTAGTCCTCCCACACTATACCTCCAAGTGTTCCAAGTCTTTCCATGGGTGCCTAAAGCTGTGGATAGTACCAGACCCCATATATGCTCTGTCTTTTCCTACGCAAACATACTGGTCAAGCATGATGGTACTCCTATAATCTCAGCACTTGAGAGGTGGAGCCAGGAGGATCTTGAGTACCAAGCCAGCCCAAGCTACATAGTTACAAGCAAGGCCCTATCTCCAAAAACTAACAAAAAAAATTCAGACAAACAAAAGTTCTTTCAAACCTATACATAGATATTTATATATGTGCATAGTAATTTTTTTCATGGGCATAATATAGTTCTCCATTTATCTGGGTTTTTAATCTCTTTTTTTATTATTGTTGTATTGAGAGTACACTGTGACAGTTACAAAAGTTCTTACAATATATCATACTTTAATTCATACCCCACATTAATTTATAAATTAGGCACAGTAAGAGGTTAGCAACAATAATAAAATAGAGCAATTATAACAATATACTGTCATAAAAGTTATGTAAATGTGATGTTTCTGAAAACATCTTGCTGCATTATACTGTATTTGCAGACCATGCCTGACCTTGGGTAACTGAAACTATGGATAAGGGAGGACTACTGTAGCACCCAAAACAGAATCATTTCCTCAGATGTCAAAAATGCTCTCAAGTGATTTAAAGCTCTCTCTGTGTGTGTGTGTGTGTGTGTGTGTGCATGTGTGTGTCTTCTTTCTCTTACGTGGAGACGAAAATGAGTGAGGGGATGTAAATGTGCATATGTAGGTATGTGATAAAGAAATGAAAGTGAGAATGTTTGGCATTTTATTTGTTTTCTCCTAAAAAAAAAAAAAAGCCAGTATATGGCATTCTGCTCCTATGCTTCTCACCTGTCTCTTCCCAGAATAAAAGAGAAATATTCCACCAGATTTGACCCTGGCCAACTATGACCTCTTCAGTCTGACTCAGGATAACTTTTTAATGCCAAATTCTGAAATCCAGATTCCAAAAAATCTAAACTGAGTTACTTCTCAGATTGAGAAATTTAGATAGAGCTTCATGGCAGCAGCATGCCACTTCTTCCTTGTACCGCTCTTAAAAATAAGTGTCCAGGGCTGAAGGTGTGGCTCAAGTAGTAGATTGCCTGCCTAGCAAGTGTGAAGCCCTGAGTTCAAATCCTAATACCACCAAAATAAAAAGTATCCAACTTGTTTTCCAATACCTCCAAGGCAAAGTTTTTAACCTAAGCTCTAAAGTTTCTTTAGTGGTGAGCTTGCTTCAGAATTCTTGCAGGCAGAATCTTTGCAAATATGTCTCTTAATCTTGATATGACTCTCTCTCAGTAAATATTTTCAGGCAGCATCAACAGAGTCTTTCAGTCTGACTCTGATGAACTGAGGGGTGTAGCTCAGTGGTAGAATGCATGATGAGGCCCTGGATTGTATCCTCAATGCCACAAAGAAACCAAACAATAAACCTGACCAAATGAAAACTTATTCATGACAGCCAGGAACAAACTCGTCTTAAACTCCTAATCTAGTGCTCTGACCAGGGAGAAGCACTGTTACCTGTACACTGGTCCACAGAGTTTTAAGTGTCCTTAGTTAAGGAAATGAAAGTGACAGAAGGAAAGGAATTAATATTTATTGAGTGCCTCTTACATGTCAAATTCCATGTGAAGTGATTTACTTATATCATTTCATTTAGTCTTCAGAATAGCCCTATGGGGTAAATAATATTATCCCAATCTATTACCAATGTCATCAACAATTGCTAACTTTTTAATTTTTATTTTACTTTTGAATTAGCATACATTAGTAATACAAGGGATTTCATTATGATAATTCTGTATGTGTGTACACTGTACTTTGAACAAGTTTACCCCCTCCATTATATTCCCATTCCCCTATCTTTCCACTACCCTTAATAATTGCTAATTTTTTAGCATCTTCTATGTACCCACTATTAATAGGTATTATCTCTAAAATCCTGACAGCAGGGCCAGGATTAGGTGAGGTGAATGAGGTGAGTTGCATTCAGCAGGTCCAAAATCTCAGGGAAGGAGGGGTCACCCAAACTCAGTAATCAAGATAAACGTTTTAATGCAATATTTTTAAAATCAAAATCAGTGCAAATAAATCCATGAGGAATGAAATG